TTGTAATGGATATAGCACTTCTAAATGGCCGAAAGTTGCCGTTTTAGACTTTGAATATAATTTTGATTTTTCGAGGAATCGGGCTGACACAACTCTTTACTCTGTTAATGAGAACCCTAACCACCCCTTTTTATAAATTACATATCTAACTTTATCATCGTCATGATAATCGTTAGTCGTCCACAGACGAAATACGAGAAAGAACGGAAGATTTGTATAGCGTTCATAAAGTTATTTAAAAATACAATATACTTTACATAAAAAAAGTCACAATTCTTAAAATTAATCAAACTTGCGGAATCTAGAATGACTAGTAGCTTGAAAGGTATGTGTTTATGAGGTAGAGTTTCACAACACTTTAATAAAGAAATATACATGATGCGAAAGCAAAAAGTTTCCACGAAAGCTATAGAATTGCTTTACTTTCCTTAAAATCCTTATCCGGGCTTGAATGCTTAGTAAATGGCCTCCTTGGAAGGTAAATTCACTCCAGATTTCAAGACGGAGTACAGCTACAATAATCGGCCGGGAAGGAAATTCATAGGGGGAGAGACATAATTCCTGGGGCACCCGACCACTGTCACTGAACATCACTTCTGCTTTAGTGTTGAGACGTCAGTGCGCATTAGTGTGCCACTTAGCATACTCATTACCAAAGTTACAATGTTTAAAAACGTTTTTAAACTAGTTGAGAAATTCATCATAAGGAATATACATATATACTGGACAGGAAACACACCAGGTATGAATTTTTCAAAATAATTTATTATTATAAATCGATAGCAATTACATACAACCATACACCGCAATAATTGTATAATTACGCCTAGAGGATCACAGCTCACACTAGGTAAATCTATACCAAACAACAGTAACTCATATTTATACCCCATGCGTATGTATTGCGCCAATGAAAACAAGGAGAAAATACTGTTTAAATGAAAGCTCATGGTTCTAATACGGTGTAGACCTATTGGTCAAATACTGTCCAGTTCACCATGTGAATGCAAGCTTTTTGTAATAATGTTGGGTAAATACTGTCCAGTTCACTGTGTGAATGCAAAATTATTGTCATATTGTCGGTCACTTTCCAGTTCACTGTGGGAATGCATGCTTGTTGTCCTAATAGTGTGGGTCAAATACAGTACTGCCCAGTTCACTGTGAATGTAAGCTTGTTGTTCTAATAGTGTTCAAATCTGCCCAGTTCACTGTGTGAATACATGCTTGTTGTCCTAATAGTGTGGGTCAAATACTGCCCAGTTCACTGTGAATGTAAGCTTGTTGTTCTAATAGTGTTCAAATCTGCCCAGTTCACTGTGTGAATGCATGCTTGTTGTCCTAATAGTGTGGGTCAAATACTGCCCAGTTCACTGTGAATGTAAGCTTGTTGTTCTAATAGTGTGGGTCAAATACTGCCCAGTTCACTGTGAATGTAAGCTTGTTGTCCTAATAGTGTGGGTCAAATACTGCCCAGTTCACTGTGAATGTAAGCTTGTTGTTCTAATAGTGTTAAAATACTGCCCAGTTCACTGTGAATGTAAGCTTGTTGTCCTAATAATGTGGGTCAAATACTGCCCAGTTCACTGTGTCATTATAATATGTTGCAGTGGAATGGCATCTAACTACACTAATATTCAATTTAAAGACAAAATGTAAGTGTTAACCTACCCTATAATGTGCATCCAGAAATAAAGTTTAGTTACCCTACTTCAACATACATCTTTATCTTTCAATTACAGTTAATATAACTGCTTTATAATCGATTGACTCCTAATTGAAGTCCACACACATGATACACAAAATATTATTAATGGATACTCTTTGACTGTTTTAGAAAAAGTGTCTATCCATCAAAGCCTCATAAACAATATAAACAAACAGATAGCGGATTTGGAACACAGAACTCAACAATGATTATTTCATCACTGTATCAATAATGAAAAATACAGCAGGAGCAAGTTAAATTAACAGTACAAAGAAAATCACAACTTCATGATCGTATCGTTCATTATAACCTGGAATTACTATTGCAAATCTTATAGCTGCTTGCATAGATAAATATTTAAAATGTTTTACTAAAAATGTCACATTAATGTCCAATTAAACATATATAATTGTTCACATTTATTATAATAATCATCTACTGCGTTCAGAATGTACATGCATAAATTTGTTATTCAGACATCCTCTGCCCAAACCCAAGGTCCCCATTAGAATTTTTACTCAAGCCTAAACTTTTACCTCTGCCCAAAATAGACAATTCATATTTCACAATGCTAACACCCTTGGAAATTCACTATCTTAATTCTTCATTACAGTACACCATTCTCCTTCAAAATATTCAGTATTTATTTTTACTTCTTAAGTCTCCCTCCAACGAAAGACTACTTGACACCAGGGTTTTCATGATCTTTAAATGTTCAGTCTTTAATTGGAAAATTAATGACTATAAAGATAAAAGGAATTAATTTGTACCTCAGAAAAAGTGGTCTCTAATTGGAGGTGGTCTTTAATTGAAGGGGTGTTTAATTAGAAAGAGCCCTGTATTAATAAATTATGAAATTATTTTATCACGGTAGTTGCCATTTTTTCAATTGTTACCTCTGTCAAGAATGTATTCACTGCTGTCTATCTGTCTGTCTGTTACCAAGACTACGCCAAAACTAATGAATAGATCATCATAAAAATTAGTGGAATGGTACATATTAATCGAAGCAAGACCCCTTTTAATTTTCGAAAGACAAGGTCAAGAAAATTTGATTTTATACCCTCTAGCATAAAAGATAATGGTAATTGCCCCTCGTACTCAGGCAGCACTCAAGAACACAATGTGCCTGAATGCGACAGGCGTTTCCATTATTTTCTTGAGGGTATGCAGTGTCGCCCATCATACATGGCCTGTGTATTGTTAGTACTCCTTCAGGCAGATGGTGGAGGTACGCACTTCATGGAGTGACTGCTCTAGTTTAAATTTGTGTTAATGATTAATACAATATCAATGCACACACTTAAAAAGGTGAAACATCATTAGGTGATCACAATTAATAATTTAAACGGTCCAAAAGTAATTGAACCACACACTTATTAATCCTCATGTTGCAAATAATTAGTGTACCCAATTAATGACCTAATAATACCCAAGTATCATCACAAGTAATGTACCCACTTAACAAACTAAACAGTGCAAATATCATTAGAAGTATGTAGGCGGATACTGGTGGTACCGTAAACACCAACATCAGGTTGACTTAAAAGGTCTACACTTTGTAGGTGGATAACACCCAATCAGGTTGACTTAAAAGGTCCACAGATCACAGGTGGATACTAACGGTACTGTAAACACTCAATCAGGATGACTTAAAAGGTCCACAGATCATAGGTGGATATTATGGGTACGGTAAACACCCAATCAGGTTGACTTAAAATGTCCACAGATCATAGGTGGATACTATGGGTACGGTAAACACCCAATCAGGTTGTTGGCTAGAAAATGACTTCATCTCTGGTGTTGTTTTCTTTCCATGTACGTAATATGCACTCACGGCAATGTCAAATACTTCACTGCCATTAGACAACCCTTCAGGCGTCTTAGCATTTCATATTAAAAAAGAAAACAGATATTTTACCATCATTTATTTATTTTTCATGTGTTGTGCACATGAGTACCATATCATTTTATTATTTTTAGTAATGTATAATTTTGTTATTATTATAACTCGACAGTCGGAGAGTTACCAAGAAGCATCTTTATCACCATTACCTTTAGCATCTTCATCATCATAATTATCAATTATCATCAATATGTTTTTTTTCAAAAATCATAAAATAAAATAAAATTCTTTTATAGAACCATAGTCATTAACATCATTGATGTAGGCTAATGTTGTTTCCAAGCAGCCTTTATTTTATTTGGTTGTTGTAGTGTTCTATCCATATGATTAATTTTTACTACCTTTGGTAGAGGTTTACCAGCACCTTCACTAGTATGCAAATGATGCACATACCTGTACTTGTAGCCACATAGTCCATGATTCAATGTCCCAACCACCACCATAGTATATAAAGTACACACTTCCACCATCACCATCACCAGTCAATGGTGGCACTTCAGGTGTCAGGGACCATTTCAACACCTTACACCCTGGTTTCGGTGATATAAATACAGTCATGTGTTCTGATCCTGCAGGGGGTAAAACAATTTAAAATTAGTAACATAAACCTATGGAATTGGTACTGTCTATAATGTGCCATTACTTATGGCTTGAAGTGCAAGCCATGTTTCCTCATTTAAACAACTTTGGTGGATAATACCACATTATTATCATAGTTGAGAGTGGGGGTGTGAAGGACCAATTAGATTTTATATTGTCTTGACGTGGAACCATTTGTGGTGAAGCATCAATCAAGAGAATGCAGGAAGATGGTGATCCATTGCATCCAACGTCAACTACAGCAGCGTTCCGCAAACTTTTTACTTCACGACCTATTTACGATTCCAGGCACCAAGCCGTGGCCCAGCAGCCCAGCCGTGCCAGGGACCAAAGGTTAAAGGTTAACCTTTCCTCTAACCAAATCCTGGCAAGAACTTTTGATCATGAAGCCTCCATGTATCTACATATTTTGACATCATTATCTCTCTCAGTGATAAAATTTCATTGTATACAAATTAAATATTATTTTATTAAATTAATAATACCGTACATTTGTGTTTTCCCCCTCCCCACAATTGTTGATTGTTTTTTTTTTCTACCATGATTCAACCAAACACGGTTCAGCCACACACGTCATAACTTTCTCTTTCCAAAAACTTTTACGCACACTCTGTTACTCCGCAACTTTTAAAGACTACCTTACCAAAGAGGTATTATGTTTTAGTAATAAAGTATCCACATGGGCATTCGGTTATCAAGAAATGTGTGGTGTTGTTTACTGTAGTGATCTTTCTAAGACAGGTCTTATATTTATTTTTATCTTTAGCTCATGACTCATCCCATCATTCCTCCATACCGGATTTACTCGATCTTACAGGGTTAATACTAGACGATAACATAGTGTCTAGCTCCCGAGGGGGCATAGACAAAAAAACAGATTACTCAAATAGCACACATCATCTAACACTTTAGCAGCATGTGCAAGCGACACATTCGTTGTAACAATGAAGTGGCTTTATTAAAAACTATTTTCTCCATGATGAAATGTCTCTTTGTTATTTTTTTTTTCAATTTCCAGACGACTTCGCGGCCCTCCAAAAATGTTTCGCGGCCCAAATTTGGGCCGCGGACCATAGTTTGTGGAACGTCGAAATAGAGGAACAAAACATGAGAAGGGTACTCAGGATTGCTAATTTAATGAAGAATTTAGTCCACACCTCACCTGTAAATGTGAAAGTAAGATTCTGTAGCGAACCTAACTTGGTTCGCGAGACCAGGTCAAGCTTCACATGGTCCACATCAGAATGCTTTGCTGGTAATAGAAAGTTCTTCCTGCAATATTGAACCAAAAATCATATTCAACAGATTCCTGACACACCCATCATTATATCTGTTTTAAGAATAATGGTTATGGCATTGATCATGTATAATAAAAGCAGTGATTACTGCAAAGTAAAGCCTGTAATAAACACAGCTTTACCTTACAGGAAACAAAAGTAGTATAATTTACTGTGTAACAGATTTGGTGTCAACCTGCAACTAAGAAAGACACTACTAGCTTAGTGCCGGATGTTTTGATAATGGAATAGCTAATACAGTAGCTTTAATATGATTTATCATTAACATTATCGTTATCATTATTATCTTTATTATCATTAACATTATCATTATCATTATTATCCTTACCATTAGCATTATTATTGTTATTATTATGAAGTTCATTTCACAGGCACTTGCCAGCAGTGTATGTCACGTTCATCAGGTCATTACCTTAGCATTGGTCGAACTGAGAAGTAGAATGGATAGCCACAGTAAGGAAGGTTCTTCTCACAGACAGCAAGCTTTGCTGATTCTAGCTCTGGTATATATTCAGCTAAATCCTTCACTCCCAAAGCATCCCTGTCTCTTATACACATCTAGATGTGTATAAGAGACACCCATGTATCTATTATATTTATAGATATTTTTTATATAAAAAGTATAAATAAATTAGCTAAACACTAATGCTGTTAGTAACAACATACTGTGGAAAATGGTTAGTATCTTGAATGCTAATCCTTAATGTCCTATATGAAAAATAAAAAGGTTAAAAGTCCTTAATATGTTCAAAACTCATTGAAACATTGAATTTACTTGTAATGGTTAAGTATTGATGAAGTTTTCAATAACAAAAAATGGTCTTTTGTAAATGTAACCTACCAGATAGCTTGTACAGACTAGAACACTTATAAAAACAATGGTTCCAACAAAATATTCAGGATTTATCTCAGAACCTGAGCGTCCCATAATAGGTATGAAGGTCTCAAATGTCACCCATAATATGTATATGGACATTAAGAGAGGGAATGATACTGCTGCCAGCAATGGGGTTACTGCAAAAAAGTCACAATTAACACCATTATCACAACTTTAAGCTCAGTTATAAATACATGTTTTTGGATATAAGGTGAATAAATACCACCAAAAGACATTAATTATAGTAGTGTTACACAGTAATGATATCAGAACTGTGCAATATTTTTATAATATTCCGTTATAATTACTATTATTAGTATTATTACTGTATTTGTAGTGTTAGTGATTCAATATTCTTGTACAATTCATTACTATCATATAGTATAAATTGTTTTTGCATTTTAATTTATGAAATATATAATCTAGACTATCTAGGTATATTCTGTCTATATATTAGTACAGATTTTATATTTAGAATATTTGCAAAAAAAACCAATAAAAATAAAGAATGCAATCCAACCAATTGTCATCATTCCATGCTATGTATACCTAGCAATGTGTACCTAGCAATCAAACATGCTTAATAAATTATTGCAGCTCACCAAAACTACTTGTGAAGTTCAAAAGAATGTTTCTACCCAACAACGGAGAAGCTACCCACATCATTGCATAGAATGCCGAGTCAGATTGCTTGATGCCAAGAACTAGGAGAATGACTAACCACAGCACCAGAGTCACATCAAAGAATAATGCATCCAGACTAGACTGAGAGATGTTCTAAAAATCAATGAAAAGAACAAACAAATCAAATATCTACATTCCATCATGTACCATGATTTCCCCTGTAGAATTAGTTTTTTTTTTGTAAAAACAAAAGTGCTTGTCACAGACTTATCATGGCTACGTTTTTTCTTTATCTAGACTCGGTCTAGGGACACACAGCCATTCATGTCATTTGGATTTCCGCATTATTTTTTTTTATTTATGAAAATAAAAAAAAGAGGCAGCCAAAATGAAAATGACAAAAGGAGTGAGAAACATTTTTAAAAATTTGGACAAAAATATTGATGCTTACCTTGAAAGTAGTAAACTTAAGATAATCATGAGAGCAAATCATAGCTAACACCCCTGGTAACCAGTACAAACCAACCAGCAAAAAAGGGTTTGCAAACCAGGACATTTTCTTATCAATTATACTGAGGAACTGTGCCATTGTCAAGACTGTCATTCCAGCTATAACCATTACTACAAGGGTGCAAACAACACCTTTCAGTAGTAATCCTGGACTCAGAGACTGATGGTTTCCTAGGATCAAATATAACAGAATGTATATTAGATTGTGATTATTGTTACATTAACATTTGAAATATGATATAAATCAATAGAATAGTTTGTAACACAGTTGTGTTATAATATTGTTTAAAATAACATTACCTTTTCTGAATTTCAGGATAATACTCAAAGCACCACATATTCCCACAAGAGTGTTGATTATCTTGCCAATTTGAGATGTATATGTAACCATGAACAACCCCAAAACATCAAAAAATATCACAGAACCAAATTTCTCTTCCTCTGTGTGGTCTATCATCACGGAAGTGTTGGCAAGGGCATGCACAAGAGACAGCACATTATCCCCTGGAGAAAAAAAAAATGAACATACGCATTAACATTATTAAGAGTTGGCAAGGGTATGTAAAAGAGACAGCAAATTATGACCTGGAGAAAAAATGAACATACATTATTTGTTTTCCTCATCAAAATAAAGCTCATTGGTATCATTTTATGTGAGTTGGAAGAAAGTGCAGGATTGGTCCTTTTTGAAGTTTTACACAAATATTGTCAGTGTTGAGGCATACATGTTTTTTGTTTTTTGGTTAAAAACCAACTTAAAATTGCTTTTATGCTATTTTAATACACTTCTGCCATTTCCTAAGTATTTTGCCTATAATTTACTTAATACTACTGTCTGCTATAGTATGTCAGTAACCAGTAGGTGTTGCCTGCGAGAGCTGCTGTTTCTGCTTACTGCTGTTTTTGCTCGGTAGCATTTCAGTTTGCTTGTTTCAGCTGTTAATCAGCTATGTTGTTATTTTTAGTATACCACTTGTTGCATGTGCTATAGCTCCTACAGTATTTCTGCCTTTTCGGCTATGTACTGATATTTTGCTGATGCTTTTTGTAAACACTGTTGTGAGACTGTGCTATAGCTGCCTTTTCAGCTGTTTTTGCTATATAGCATTGGGGTTTCCTTGTTATTGCTTTGCTTTCGTTCAGCTATGCTGATTTTAATGATTGTTCATTGAAAAATGCTATAGCTGCCATTGCTGTGTGTTGGCTACTATTAAATAGGGGTTTGCGCCAATAGCTGTTAGGGTTATGCGTGTCTGCAATTTACCATCGATTAGGCGTTTGCGACGATAGGCGTTCGGGTTAAGCAATTTAGGTGTTTTCGCTGATAGGCGTTTGGATTAAATACGTCAGGCGTTTGCACCGACGAATGGGGGGTTGAGAACGTCACCAGTACAAGTTATATTTTTGGTAGGGGATGGAGCACGTCAGAATTTTAATATTGAATAGGCGTTTGCGACGACAGGCGTTAGGGTTAAGCACGTCAACAGTTTACTATTGAATAGGTGTTTGCGATAGGGAGTAGGGTTAAGCACATCAGGTGTTTACCATTTGCCAATGAACAGGCATTTGTACCGATAAACGTTAGTGTTAATAAGCACTGCAGCAGTCACCAGTAAGAACTGTGTACACTAATGAATAGGCATTTGCACGGGCCATTTGCAATGGATAGCTAGTTACTTTCCCTATTTGTTATTTTTCAATTAATACGCATATGTAACTGATATGCATTTTATGTATTATGTTACATTCAGTCATATTTCATATTTTCATGACACAACTACATAAATCTAATGTTTCACCTAAACTCTATATAGCTGTTACTGTATCTACATTTGGAAGCAGGTCAACTCGGCCTCAAGTCAAGTCGGCCCCAGTCAACTCGGCTCCAAGTCAACTCGGCCCCAAATCAACTCGGCCCCATGTCAACTCGGCCCAAGTCAACTCGGCCCCAAGGCAACTCGGCCCCATGTCAACTTGGCCCCATGTCAACTCTACTTTACCATAGAAACCTAATAATGATGATAAAGAAGATCATGATGATAGGTGATGACAGTCTCCTGTGGAAGATTAATTGCCGGGTCCTTTGATGTGAAGTGTCAACTTAGGCCCGTATTTTATTATCGTCGTTGTCATAGTTTATTTATTTATTTATTAACCATATTTAGAGTGGGCAACCCATACAGAACATGTCTGATGTTCAGGGGCCCACTGAAATACAAAAAGGTAAAATTTATATAAAAATATATCCTATCTATCAATTAATCATTACATTTCAATATAGCAAACACTTAAATACAAAGATATAAAATGGTATAAAAATATAGTCAATCAAACAATGTATAATAATAATAATTAAAAAAGCAAACATACAAACTTACAAGTAAAAATCATACAAACAATCACCAGGACACACACACACATACCCACACAAACTATGAAAAGCAAAATCTAAAATCTTGTGCTAAATACAGACTATCCCCTTAAAGTGTAAACAAGCTTGTATATACTGGTACTAGAGGAACTTGTCAAGTAGTACAGTAATCTCTTTCCCTCAGACTCTCCTTTTCCTCTCTTCGAAGTCCCTTCAAGCTCCGACGTTTTAGCATCACATTGTATTTGTTGAATTTAAACAATTTTAGGTGCTGATTAATGTTTTCATTGTTTGTTAAAAATAAATCAAAGCATACATAATTGAAATGAACACAATAATCATTATAATTATAGCCTTGTACGTTATTTTGAGTGATATAGATGAATTCGTTGACATTGAAAACATATGTGTAGACACCAAAACTAAACATTTGGTCTCATATGACTGAATTTAAGGAACCACTTTAAACATTATCCAAATTTAACAACCTTTGACTGTTAAATTTGTCTACTAAGAATTAAATCTCAAATCTTGTGGTAAACCCTAGCCCCTTAAAGTGTAAACAAGTGTGTGTTCCTTTACTGTAAATTTGTACTCCGAATCAGCTACTTGGGCTGCTATTGTACAAATGGTTTTTTGAATAAAAGAAATGAAAGGTATATCCTGGTACTAGAGGAACTTGCCAAGTGGTAAATCGCTTTTCATAGCTTTTCCTCTCTCCAAGTCCCTGGAAGTTTCAAAGCTTTAGGATCACAAGAGCAGTATTTGTTTGAATTTAGACAATTTTAAGTATTGATTAACGTTTTCAGTTTTTGTTTAAAATAAATAAAAATACACAATTGAAATTAACACAATAATCAATAATTATTGCCTCGTACGTTATTCTGAGTGATATAGATGAATTCGTTAATATTGAAAACATAAGAACCACTTAACATTATCCGAATTTAATAACCACCATTCTTATCTTATATACCTGCTCTTTGAATAGATCCTTCTGGGATATGGAGCAAGTCATCATATTTTGTGTGGTAGACGTAACCATTGGTAATATATGCAATATCAACACCTGCAGATAAAAAGCACCAAACATAGTATTCTAATGGCATCCCAACTATGACATCAACTGAATGTTCAAAGTGTAGTTAAATGTTCAGAAATGTGCAAATATTGGACAGTGTGGCTCAAAAATATATTATTACATAAAATGTTAATAACTAGCACTAACTTGGACTTAAGGGAAATATCTTTTGTGTTATTTTCCCCTTAACATCATGATATTTTCCCCTTAATGTAGTTTACTTAATTGTTCTTTACTTTCTCCATTGTCTAAGTTCCCCTTAAGGTAGGTTTCAGTAACATAATAATAATAATAATAATAATAATAATAATAATAGATCTTTTATTCATAACTCAATCCATATGTACAATGATGACTTTAATAGATAAACTTCAGTAAACTAACTCTTGTAAATAATTGTATCATTTTGTATTTTCTGTTTTATTTATGTCCTTGATTAATTTATTGTTATATGTCTAACTTTTATACTATTTTTTTTTGCATCAGGAAGACGAATTTTACTTGTATTTTATGTACC